GAAGCAATTATATTTAATTTTTAACTCTTTATTTAACTCATTTAGGAGTAAAAAATAATATTCTGAATAATTTGATTCAGATTACAATTTAAAACAAACACATACTTTTTTTATTATAAGGTCTGACTCAAATGGTTGCAGAAAACAAATAAACAAAAAAGTTCAATTGAGGACAAGCAGCAAGACGCAAGACACCATCCCAGCAGGAACTTTAGACAAGGACACTAAAATCCTTCTTCTTGATACTTTTTCTTTCTCTGCCAGATGGATGTACAATTTTTCTGCTCTGGAGATTATAGAAGCTCCATTTTATGTTAAAATTACAGAAAAAGTTCAAACTGAATATATGACTGGAATCTTGAAGTTGCGGTATCAAAAAAATGAGAAGTTAAATGTCTACATTGTTGAACTTCCTTACATGGAATCCTACGAACTCATTCTTTTGCTCCCAATAGATAACGATTACCAATTGACTGCACTTAAGAAATTGGATAAAAATGCTCTGATGAATTTGGATGAAAAATTAGAAAAACTGAACGTTAAGCTGAAACTGCCGAAGTTCAAATTGGATGCTCATGTCGATATGAAAAAAATTCTGGAAAAATTGAATATTATAAAACTATTCGACAGTAAAACATGTGATTTGGCCAAACTATCAAGTTCACAAACACATGTCAGTGCATTTTTTCAACGGACTCCATTTTCAATGGAACAGGAAGGAAGCAATGCGGATGAACTGGAGGCAGTTGATTCTTACAATGATAATCCGCCTCAAATTACTGATGACTACGTAATTTTTTTTGCAAATCGTCCATTTGTCTTTCTATTAAGAGAGGTTAAAACTAGGAATATCATTCTCATGGGAAAATTTATGAAACCAAATGATGTCTTGTAGATGCTACAAACAAAGCCGTTGAGATGTTAAAAAAACATTCATGTAAGAAACATTCATGACAAACAATTTTTAATTTCTTGTTATTTGTAGTTAATTTAGAAACTTATTTTCAATCTACTGAGAAAACATTTTTTAGTTTTGAGAAAACTATTTTTTAAAATTATATAATAATATTATTGTGGTTGGTAAATGGTAAAAGCAGTTGCGAATTTAGGGATTCCAGAATCTCCGTAGCATCTTTGGATTCTAGCATCAGAGATTCCAGCATGGAATACACACGCCCTACCAGACCATGAAAGAAGAAATTATTGAAAGCTCTGTGTAGAAAAACTTTATCAACTTTAAATTCAACAAATTATTCCCTATTCTAACAAAACGGGAGTTAGCAAAGAATGGTCACCAAACTAGAATTTTGAAAATTATTTCCAACCTCAAACTTCCGGATATTGGATCTGTGACTAGGTGGAAGTCTCAAATACGTTCATCGTCCTTGTATAAATATTTTTTAAAAGGATGTTTTGTCTCGTTGCATGTTTTATTTAAGTGTTTAAAAGTCGACATGGTGTCGACATGTCAACTTGTCTCGAATTTAAATTTTTATAGAAGGAAGGTGGTTATAGAGCAAAAAATTTTAAATTTACCAAAAACATGTTATATCAATTGATAGAAGTATTTTTTGTAAAAGTTAAACATTTTCTGAAAGTATTATTCACGTAGTTTCAATGAATCAGTAATTGAGTATGTAAGCGCAAGCGTGTATGTGTGTGTGTTTTGTTGTGTCTGTGTGTGTGCGTGCGTGTGTGTGTGTTTTGTTGTGTCTGTGTGTGTGTTTTGTTGTGTCTGTGTGTGTTTTGTTGTGTCTGTGTGCGTGGGTGTGTGTGTTTTGTTGTGTCTGTGTGTGTGTGTGCGTGTGTGTTTTGTTGTGTCTGTGTGTGTTTTGT